AATTAGAACTATGTAATTATATCATTTTTACAGCATAATTATAATTTCAATATTTGCTAATGACAAGATTAACAAAGTAGAATTATGTTACTTTTTATAATTTAAATATTAGTCCAAATTCTTGCTGGAATTGCAGCTTTTATAGAAAAAAATGGGATATTTTTCCAAACTATTCATGTATTTAAAATTGGTTTACATTAATTAGTTGGTGAAACTGGAAATTTGTGTAGAAAAGTAGCTCAATTTACCAGACTCCTTCAGAGTTATATATCACAAATCAAATAAATAGCATTTACTAAGGACATTTTTAGTCATTTACCAGTGGGCAACCAAATTCTTTAAAAAAAAAAAAATACAAGGCCTGTGACTCACCAAATGATATTACCTAGTCATTGAAAATCATTTGCTGTCCCAATTTCTGGGAAATAAACCAAAAAAGAAAAAAAATTACCTAAACTTACCAAATGACTACTATCTGTGCTTATAATTTGCTTGCTAAAATTGTCATATTAACAAGATAAATTTAGACAGGCACACAATATCAAAATGCTAATTTTAAACATATTTCTCTCAGTGCATTTTGTTTCAATAAATTATTTAAGTTGTAACTTAAATCTAAATTTTACAAAAGTGTGGAACTGCACATTTAGCTCACTAAAATTATAAAAAGTTTGCTATAAATATAACAGGCTAAGCCTAGCTTCATTATCAAGTCAATGAAACTTATTTTCATCCAGGTAAAGTATGACTTCATTTTTTAAAGTAAAATAAACATCTTAATACAGATCCCAATGAAAATATGTCAGTTCCAATGAAAATATGTCAGTTCCAATTCCATCTCTGAGACAGATAAATCAAAAAGCTAGACACGGATTGGATGTCTGAGTAAAACGTTTAGCAATGCTCTCTTTTCCTGACTCTTTAAAACTGCTTTTTTCATGAATTCAGATGAAGAAAAGGTATATTTTTCTTTAAAAATGTGAAAGTAGAGTAACAGTCCAATGGAATATGAGAAAGCATAATTAGTGTGGTGTTGATTTATTTTATAGAAACTGCTTTTAGAAATATCTTCATTGCAGAGCAATTCTTTTAGCAAAGGTGAAAAGATGAGAATCAATGGATTGATTCTGTTAAAACTTGGGTAGGCGTACAATTTATTAGTCAAACCAGGATACTAATTGATCCATACAACAGACAAAAATCAGTACTATGATGAATTAACTGGGAAATCTGGACATCCATTCTAAGATCTCTGTGCCATGCATCCTAAAAGGTACAGAAGGCCTGTATGGTGACACAAGTGGTACATGCCACGTCTGAACTCAAGTGATGGATCTCAGCCAAAACACAGATACACCAAAACTACTGTATGAAATTGCTTTTCGACAATGTATATAAGATACAATGAAACAAATGGGTCTTGTGTTTAAAACTGAGAGCAATCCCCACTGTAACACGTTATGTATAGCTATGCATTCCAAGACTTGAAAATACTGAAAACCGAAAACACCTCTGGCCTTATATATTTTGGATAAGTGCCAGTTTGAAATCACTGATGTACACTACAGACTTGGGAGCATCTACTACTATGTAATAAGTACTGTGCATGCTTTATCCTGGTTAACAATGCTTATAATCAGAGCTTGCACCTAGATGCATCCACTGTTTTTTGTTTGTTTTGTTTTGTTTTAACAGATAAGGCAAGTGAAACACTGTGGGAGAAAGAACCATGCTCAAATCCAAACAGACAGTACATGAATCTGAGTCTATACACAACAAAGTTGTAAGAATGTACCCTTTGACCTCTACCATGAGGTTCCTATGGGGCATCACCCAACACCATCCTGAACGGAGTTCTCTCTTGGAAGGACTTGATGATTCCCTTTTTTGCCCATAATGTTGTGTTATTTATTTTTGTCACACTGTATCGTTAAGTATCTACGCTGTGTTTTAATTCACATTTCCCACTGTCCTAGTCCACAGCTCTTACCCTTACAGGTATGGGGAACCTCTGGCTGAAGACCTTCTAAGGCCTGAAGATGTTTCTGCTCTGGCCCTGCCATGACAAACATATAAAACATTCACAAATTCAATAAATCTGTAATGGGCTAATTTTTAAAACAGTCATTTTGCATGGCCTACAAATAAAGTAAAATGTCCAAGTGGCTTTTGGCAGGAAACGAAAGAGTCCCCACCCTGGGTACTGTACCCAAGGTCACTAGCTAGGATGAGGTAGGCTTGCTTTAGCCTGCTTCTTTGATCACAAAATCCTTGAAGTGCGTAGCATACATATAAAAATAAAATTAAAACATGGATAGAATAATACTATCTCTATATACTTTTCACTAGATCTGAAACCCACAAAACTTAAAGCTTCCCCAAAATTCTTGCTATTCACATTCTCTAATACAATTAAAACGTTTTTAGACCTAACTCAATTCAACCATGAACACAGATAAATGAGACTTAAATGTTTTCCTCAATGCTAGGGTTGCTACTCACTGTTTTTGGGCTCAGAGAATGCTATTGTTTGCAGTTCCCAGAGCAGCAATTTAATGTCTGAAAACCAGCTACTGCAGATTAAAGAATTAATGTTCCCTTTTATAATGCTATCCCCAGAACACATTTATAAAGAAAGTAAGTAGTTATCTGGGCTGAACTTCTGATGTGCTTATGAATATAGTTGTTAATCACCACCTGTGAAAGAATTATCTTGCGAAGCAGACTGCAAATTGTAATGCAATTAGATTTGCTAAGTCATCTTGATTGCACCTCTCTCTACTTTACCTTTGAAATGTGTCATAAAAATATGAATAGAGATTCTGGAACTCAGATCTATATATACATCTATTAACTGTGTATAAAAGGATGTGATCGCAGAGTTATAGTGACTTTCTCAAATACATAACTTATTCCTTTTGAAATACCAATTTTCTCTGAATAAATTTCCAGAAGAAATGTAATGATTCATTTTATCTTAATATCTCTGTGTCTCTATTTGTGCATTTAAGAAGTTCAGTTTGTTCTTTTCTTCACTTCTCTGATAATCTGAAACACATCTTAACTTTTCTATTGGGATACAGTATTAGCTACCCGCCCTCAAATCATCACCAAAAAATTAAATTAGAATGTGATTTGAATGCAGTATATTTTATGAGACAAAAATCAACAATGAAAATGGAAACTAATTTTGCTTCTTTGAAATGTCTCTCCTTGTATTTGATCCAAAACAGAAACCAGGAGGTTATTTAGCATCCAGGAAGGTGAAATTTTGAGTGCTAAAACAAATGCCACTGACTGCTACATTGATATTCCCAAAGCACCACTTTTATAATCTCTCCCTTCTTAAGAACTTGTTTCCCTGTTTTCCACTCTATATAACGGCGTCAAATCCCTTTTTAAAATCTGATGGCAATCTTCAGAACACATTTTCACCCGTTCCCAAGAATCCATATCTAGGCACCCTCTCAATTTCTAGATGTATAATTTACCATGAATTCCATTAAAGAATGCAGAAAAAGTACCTGTGGAAAAAAAAAGTAGTCACTATTCTGAATTTCCTACCAGCCACCTACACCTATGACATCTTTCCTTTATGCCTGTTTGGTTGGTTCAAAGTGGCCACAAGCAATCAATCATAAATGCACACACAGACACACATACACACACACCAAATTTTAGCTAAAACCCTCAAGTTTCCTTGAATTCTGTATAGCCCAAATGTTCATCATGAGGACTCCTCAAAGTGATAGCCTAATGAATGGGGAGAACCAGATCCCTCTCAGCACATGAATTGAATACAATTGTTAGAGCTCAGGTTACCAATAATAAATCAATTAGAAAAATACAAAGGAAAGTCCGAATACTTTTCCTCACATCAAAAGAACTACCTTCTACAACGATGTCCTAGATTTGGCTTCTTCATGAGACAGAGGAAATACGGCCTTGAACAACTTGAACAAGAAAGCATTCTCAGGCAATGAACACTGCTGTTCCCTACAAAGTGAAAGAAAAACACACCATACTAAGCGAAATAAACAAGCATGAATCGTCCAGATTGGAGACCTGGATGGGGTGCCTGTCTCCTGGCATTGGCCTGAAGCATAGCTTTGCTGTTGTGTGTATTTGGGCACTGAACCAAAGATGGCAACTCTCTTTCAAATATAACAACACTTTAAAAAAATACTGAAATGGTTTTTAGAATGGTTTATTCTAGGCTCATTTTCCTTTCAAATAAAAAGGAAATATATATTGCCAGCTTACTTTGCAGGAGTTTTCTATTGTGAAAGGGTGCTAACTGAACACAGAATAAAGTTCAAACTTAGTCTTGAACTGGGTATATATAATTACAGTAGATCCTCTGTGTCTCAATGTTCCTATCCTTTACATACTCTAGAAAGCAGTTAGACTATATGTATAGTATTTATACATATATAGCACATTTATAGTGAGGATTAAATGAGGTAGGGTTCATTAAGCCTTCAGTATCCAACAATTCTTTAAAAATTTCTTGAAAATGCAGTTAGCATATTTGTTTGGATGCATAATTGTTTTGAAAATTGTACATACAAATGACCCTCAATGAGTTCATAAGAAATACTTACTTTCAAAAAGTGTGCATGGATTTCAAAAGGTTTTGCAAGAAAATGCACTTACTTATTTTTAAAGATTTATTTTTTTATTATTTTTTCATTGAAAAGGCGGATATACAGAGAGGAGAGACAGAGAGGAAGATCTTCCGTCCAATGATTCACTCCCCAAGTGAGCGCAACGGGCCGATACTATGCCGATCCGAAGCCAGGAGCCTCTTCCGGGTCTCCCACGCGGGTGCAGGGTCCCAAAGCTTTGGGCCGTCCTCGACTGCTTTCCCGGGCCACAGGCAGGGAGCTGGAAGGGAAGCGGGTCTGCCGGGATTAGAACCGGCGCCCATATGGGATCCCGGGCGTGCTGGGTGAGGACCTTAACCACTTGCGCCACCACGCCGGGCCCGCTTACTTATTTTTAATATGGAATGCTTCACAGATTTGCGTGTTGTCCTTGAGCAAGGGTCTTGTCCATCTCTGAATTGTTCTGATTTCAGTGCGTGTGCTGCCAAAGCAAGCACATGAACTGATCTTCAAATTCCATGTTTCAAGAACTTTTTGAAGTACCGTGAAAATAGTCAGCACTGAAGCAGGCGTTAGTGGTTAGTACACTCAAACCAACTCCAAGAAGTTATCACTACAACTACAGATCCCACGGCACGTTTTCCATCAGAGGTTTATAAAAGGTTTTACTTTTATAGTTATTTTGGTCAGAATTCATAGTTATCTTAGCATTCCTGATACTGTTAAGACTCAAGAAACGAGAGTCACCTGGAAGTGTCCAACCCTTTGGGCTTGGATTCATCAGTCAGAGCCAAGTCCAACTCTAAGGATGAGAGCGCCTCTGTTCTCGGATCAGAATTGTCTGCCTCAAAATGCTCTAGCAACACTTTGAAATTCAGAACTCTGTATCCTCTCTGTCAGTGTGGATTTGTCCTTGTCTTGACAGAGAACATCTGTTGCTCCCAATATACTATGAGTTCTTCAAGGCCTTTTATCCTGAGGCTTTTGTAACTACTCTGTCTCAGCATCGGCCTTCAGAATAGAATCTAGACCTCTCTTTACCAAATCAGATGTCTGCTAAAAGACTTTTCTTTTTTCTTCAAATAAAAGAGTAGTTTTTCTGAATGTTAAATTTTATCAGCAGTCATGGCAAAATAGGCGTAGCCTGCAGGAAACTTTGAGATGGTACCTTTATGATATGAATACAATGTGGTCACAAGATAACTGGGCTAGGAGACCATATCAAGTAGAGTAAAAACTGACAGAGTTCAGCAATCAATTCTAGCCTGGGTTCTTGAAACATAACAGCAGATCATCATAGCAATCTGACACACAAGTCAGGCTGAGATTTCTCAAGAACTACAGGCCATTTGGGACAAGTGGAAATAAATCAGATTACAATAGAAATGGGGCTGGAGTGGCATGCAAGAATCAAATGACCAAGTGCTTTATATGCCATAATAAGCAATCTTCACTTTAACTAGGAAATATACCCTTCCAAACGTGGCCTCCATCAGAACAACAATATTTACCAAGAAAGCATTTTTTTCAACTATTATTTTAAATTCATAAATAAATAAAATTCTGAAAGTATTGTGATACAATTGTAAGTTGAACACAAATTATTTAGAAACAAATAACACTGTGAAAAGATTTGCTTATGGGTTAAAATATCATGTGTTTGAGATTTTTCAGCATTTAGATATTAGAGTTATGCTATATTTATACATAGTCTTTGATGATTTCCAAATTTTGGCCATTCTTTGTGACACGTTCATAATGTGCATGTATTTGTGAACCTATCCAACAAGGCCAGTTGTTTATGACCAAGGAGATGCAAAAAAGAAGATGAAGAAAAGAGACAAACACAAAGAAAGATCAATACAAAGTGGAGACAAATGAAGTATTAAATGCCTCTGATGTTCTTTCACAGCCCATGACAGTGAGACAAGTATCACTAATGTGATTCCAATTCTGTGAGCCAAAGAGTGTTCTAGAAACTACTTCCTCATTAAAGAGATGGACTTGATTTTAGATGATTCAGCCAGTCTGGCTTGGAATTTCCAATATATTCAGAAGTTCAAAACAAGCCAGTAAAACGACTGTTTCTCTTCTGTCCTCTGTGCATTCTCTCAGTCTTAAGTCTCAACAATTTGCCTTGCAAGTGTCTTTCTCAGAACCACCTGCTTCCTACGTCAACTGCAGCTGGACCAGCTCAGCTCTTCATTTTCTTCTACACAGCCTTGGGCAAATCTTTTCACTGGTTTGTACCAGTCAGCCTTTTCCTGCTATAGCTTTCCTTTCATTATAAAGGCAACTGTAGATGCCAGGGCTATGTACATAATGCAATGAATAATATCGCTTTTACATATAACACAGTTGAATCACTCCCAGTTAGTTTGTAGATCAATTCCAAATTCCATTTTAGGTATGTACATAGTTCATTTATGAATTTTTTAAAAAGAAAGAAGCAATTGAAATTCTTGTATAGGATTCTATATCAAGACAATTTTTATTTCTTCTGCATAAACAACAAGCTTTGGGAATTATTCAGTATATATATACTAATAGTAAATTCTATAATGTTTTATGGAGCAATAATGTAGTATGTAGAAGATTTCAAAATTACTTGGCATCCTTATCACTAGTGGAAATTTTTCTTTTTCTTCTTTTTCTTTGTAAAAAGTGCAATTAAAAGAGAAGTTTATTTTGGTGTAAATATGTTGAAATCCATGCATACTAGGGATCTTTGAACAATTCAGGGAAATGTATCTATGTATGTATATAATAAAATAACCATGAATAAGTGTTCCAAGATGGCTGAATGGGGTGTAGCCACACTGATGTCAGTTGCTGTACGATAGAAAGCACAAACAGAACAATAAAGACTTCATGGGAGAAAAGGAGAGAAGATAGACTGCCACCAGTTGTACAGCAAGATCAGCTGCTGGCTGCAAGCCTACGTCTTATCACATCAAGGCAGGAGGGAATCGCTGCCTGCACCACCACTCAGCATTTTAGCTGAGACAGAACTCCACTATCACTCACTGACTTTGACTTGAGCCTGTGGAGCGGACTGGTGTCCAAGCAACTGTCAGACTTGGAGCAGTGGAGCTGCTACACTCCTCCTCCCCCTGCCCTCATCTGGCAGAATGCCATAACTGGTGGTGAAAAGTCGGGAGAAGTCATCATCTTCCTAGAGGGAAGTGAAAGGTGTCTGTAGCAAAACAAGTCTGTGTATCTTGTTTCAATGAAAACCTGAGGTTACCTCTGGTCTGCAGTGATTGTAGAGCGCAGGGCGCCCACATAACCCCATGAAAAAAGAACACAAGGGCTTCAGATGATAAGCAGGGAGATGGGGCCATCTTGGTAAGGCAAATGCAGGTAGCTTGTGGACTTATGCACATGCAAGTAGGAGATTTTATCTGAAAGATAAATGCCAGGTACCTACTGATTTTGAATATGGCCTGGGGAATTGAAAAGGGATGGAACATCCCTTCCCCTAACTCTATCACCAACAACTGTGCTCAAACTGCCAAGGCAGAACAGCGATAGACAGCAGACTCTGGGAACAGTTTGTCTCTCTCTGTGGATGCAATAGATCCAGGAGGCTGAGTGGATCACCTGTTGCCTGTGATTTTAGGGGTCTTCCTCCACTGTAACTGGGAATGTTTGACTGCCTGACAGGGCATGGATATTGCTGAGCCTGGGGGCAATCGTTTGTTCTGACTTTGGAGGTTCAGAGTTCCCTGATGGTCTGGAGTGGGTCACTGAGGAGAATTCTGTGCTCTAACTGAGGATCCATAGATACTTTGGGTAGCTTCTATGTCTGTCTGGGTCAGGCTTATCATCACAATAGGATAACCCTGGTTATTGTTAGCTTAAAAGAGAAGAAGTGAGACTGTGATTAAGCCAGCAGTTCATCTCTATCCCTGCTGACTCTGGAGGAGATCTACCAAGCCCAAGCCCAATCCGAGTCTTACCCTAGACTCTTGCAACACTCCCAAACACTGACTGGAACTCCCTGACCCCACCCAGTGTGTATCTGAATATTAACTGAAAGAATAGACATACCAGTAAGCCACAGAGGCATATTTCAAAGATAAAAACCATCAAAGGAGAAAAACAACTACAACTAAATGGTTACACAAATGCCTAAAAATAACATGGAGGAGAAAGATGAACAAAAAGACACTGACTCCCTCAAAGGATAGTTAGGTTATATGCTAGATATAATTGTAGATTTATTTTTCTTCCTTCCTTCTTTTTTCTTTCTTCCTTTCTTGCATCCTTTTTCTTTCTTCTTTCTTCTTTCTTTAGCTTCCTTCCTTCCTTCCTTTCTTTCTTTTCTTTTATTTCTTTCCTTTTCTTTCCCTTCCTCCCTTCCTTCCTTCCTCTCTCCCTCTCTTCCTCTCTTCTTTCATTTTCTCTTTCACAACCCTTCATAATTATTTGAACAATGCCTATACTAATTTAACTTCCCATTAACAATGAATAAGAGTCCCACTTTCTTCATCAACATTTTATTATTATTTTTAAAATATTCATTATATTTGCAGTGAAATGATACCCTATTATAGAATTAATTTGCATTTTCCTGATGGTTATTGATAATGAATGTATTTGACTGCATTTGTTTGAATGTATTTGTTACCTATTTGAATTTTTCTTTGAGAAATGCTCATTTAAATTCTTTGCTATTTGTTAACTGGATTGTCTGTGCAGTTTTTGTTGCTAAGCCTTTGCAGGTCCTCGGGTGTTTTGGATGTAAATATTTTGACAGATCTATAGTTTGTAAATATCTCTTCACTATTAATTTTTTCTTTAGGTACAGAAATTTCTTGTTTTGTTACAATCCCATTTGGCTATTTCTCCTTTTGTTCCTGCTCTTTTGGGGTCTTAACCAACAAAAATCCTTCCTTGTGACAATATCACAGAATATCTGAAGAGGAAAAGGATGTTTAAATAAAATTAGAGATGAAAAAGAAAAAAGTGCAAGCGAATTCACAGAAATACAAAATATCACTGGAGATTATTATCTTAGAGAATGGTTTATGTGCTAACAAAAAGTATGAGTATTCTGAATCTGTCAGACAAGATGCTCTATGGATTCGTGTTAACTCCATTGGCTCTATAGTTAGTTTGTCTCTCATATTTCTTAGCTAATTTTTTACAAGGGTGTAGATATCTGACCATTGCTTCAAAAGGGATATGAATATCTCATACTGTTATTGGAGTGCATGTCTCCTTTTAAAACTGTTTGTTTAATAAAATTGTGTACACTGGAGCACCCAAGCTGTCACTGATGCCTGGTCTGCTGCCCCAGTGGCTTAGGCCATCGAATGGGCAAGAACAACCACTAAATGATCTTAAACTGATCTTCAATTCAGTCTCTGAAGCTAATGAGGAAGTGAGGTTGAAGGAAAATAAACATCAGTTTATTAATAAAAAAAGTGCAAGAATATTAAGCACATAAACATTTACAATCATTGTATCTTCTTAGTGCTTTGATCCCTTC